ATTTATTATTTTCGGTGATAAATACTGGGTGTTTGCATACAAATAGTATCAGTGAATGATTATTGTGATATCAATCGACTGAAACTTGATATAACACCCCTAGAAAATCACACGACCAGTATACACACTCGTGGCTTTTATTCATAGCTGGTAAAAAGTCTTTGAAAATAAAGAATATGTTATGAGGTTTTTCATTAAACCATTAATGTCCACCATCGACTATTATTGGTATTCCTTAGGATGCTATAAACAGGTTCTGTTTGATGTCATTATTTTAGAAATAATGTAACGACCATTGCACAAGGTCATGCGTTTCTCAGACTGTTTATGACGTCTTCACTAAATTCGTTGGATGTGTACTGGTTGATAATTTAGTCTGGGAGAACATGGTTTATTTATTAGTTGTAATTAGCTTTGAACTAGCTTTCAGTAACTGCGAGTATTCTTATTTCGATGCTTTGTTATGGCACCCTCAACGGAGTTGGGGTGACATATTGTTATTGTTCCGTTCTTTTTGTCTTATTTTTATTCTTCCACACTTTTTGTCCACGCTATTTCTAGGAATTGAATGGACCAATCTTGATGGAACTATGCTATAAGGTTGACCACCATGTGAAGTTGTGCAACTGACTTTGGAATGTGCAAGATGGCCACGGTTACCATGTACACTAAAAAAATGTAAAAAAAATCAAAATTCTAATTCTTTTGTTTTTTAGAACCAACCTATTGAAACTTTATGCAAATGTTGCCAGTGGTGCCCTGAGGTACCAAAATGGCTGCCATTGCCATGGAAACAGGGGAAAAGTTTAACATTGGCTCTATGGAAAAACAAATTAAAGCAGCATTTTCTTTAAGAATTTTCAATGTTATCAAATGAAACTTTATGGATGTGTACACTGGCATATGTCAATGCCTCATCTGTCTTTGGAATTTTGGAAATGGCCACCGTTACCATGGAAACACCAATATTTTCAAAAATTTCAAAATACTCCAAATTTAATGAAACTTTACAGAAATGTTAACTAGCATGTGTAGGTGTGGTATTTAACTTTTGAATTTTCAAAACGGCTGCCGTAACTGTGGCAATGGGAAGGGGTGCCATCCGCTATTGCTTACAATGGCAAATCTAGTTTTGATTGTTTTTATGTTACATTGTAGTTATTTTTTGTGCCTCTTATTGATCTTTTCTGTTCTTATGTTCTGTTATTACACCACTGTCCAAGGTTAGAGGGAGGGTTGAGCGCTCACAACCATGTTTAGTTCAGCAATATTCTTTATGTGCCGGTCCTAAGTCAGGAACCTGTAGTACAAATACAATTTAAAACAAATTTAACCTTTCCAAAAAGGTATGGAGTGCTTCGTAGTACCATAAAATAACGTCAGTTTTCGTCTTTTTTTTTTTGGTGATATTTCAGAAGTATTTGCTAGTATTATTTTTTTTAATTTCCGGATACTTTTATTTGGGCGTCAGTTTCATTATCATAACACGTATAACACGTGTAAGTATTACAGAATTAAGGATACAAAAAACGATCTAACAGGAAATAGCCTCCGTTCTGAGGATCACAAATAAGGGACTGTGAAAGGAAATTTAAATATAACTTCAAATAGCCAAACTAACAATTTATTCATAAGACGAAGGGGGTTATTCTATAGGATCTCCATGATTAGACTGACACGCGATACCGTTAATTGTGAACGAATATTTTTACTATACTATTTCTAATTAATTATTTATGTCTGGTAAAAGTAAATTGATAACCCCGACTTCATCATCACATAAAGTACACAGCGAGAGTAACATAAATCGATGCTTAAAAGTTACCATGCTCCGAGAATCATACATAAATAAAGGCAACAGTAGTATACTGGTGTTCAAAAGTCATAAATCGAATGAGAGAAAACGAATTCGGGTTACAAACCAAAACCGAGGGAAACACATCAACTGTAAGAGGAAAACAAAGGAACAACAGGAACACCGAACTGCAACAAAAACAAACGCCAACACACATATAAACGGACTATTTGATAACAACTGCCATAATCCTGACTTGGCAGAGGCGGATTTAGAGGGTTTTTCAGGGGGCCCGGCCCCCCCCCCCCCTTTTGTGGGAAAAATAATTGTGGTTGATTATATAGGGAATCACTGAAGCATGACTGAAACGGGCCCCCTCTTAGGCAGTCAGTGGGCCACTCCTTATGAAAATTTCTGGATCCGCCACTACTTGGTACAGGACATTCTAAGAAGAAAATGGTGGGTTGAACCTGGTTTCATGGCATGCCAAACCTCCCGCTTTATGACAATGTTAAAAACATCGCTAAAACACTACGTGACATAAATACAGCACAAACACACGCAAGAACATTCATAACAGAGAAACGCACAAACAAATAATATAATAGTCGACACAACATGCAAACCACAGAAAAACAACGAACATCCATCAACGAAAAACACCACAGGATATCAAAAACAGTGACGCGTTTACGTAACTAACATGAAATCTCGAACTTTATACAATTATTTTCACAATATTCGTCCAAACATAACATAACAATGTTGACGTTATATACTTGAGCGTTGGTTGCTTTGTTGTTTTTTAGACCAAGACTTCCTTAATTGTATGTGATAGTTCAACAAATTACTTTTAACAAATAAATATCTAGTCTATGTTTTTACATACTGGTCAGCATCGAGTAAACGCACAAGTGAAAGGAGCTATCATTTTTGTATATTACAACGTTAACGGTTTATACACGTCTATACGACGTTTGTCATTAGTGGGACAGGATATGCCAACCCTTCCAGAGTACCCGAGTTCAGCCCTGACTTAAGATGGGGTTCATGTTGCTCGTTTTTGTTTTGTTTTTTTTTGTTTTTTGTGTTTTGAATACTGTTGTTTGTCTTTTCGTCGTTTTTCTTCTTTTTGCAATGGTATTGTCGGATTATGTCCGACTTGTGACTTATAATCGTAACTTTGGTATCTGTTGCCACTTTTACCCTTACACTGACGTTCTTAATCAAAGTTTGTAAATGCCTTTTTCTTTTATGGATCTGCATAATTCAATGTAAGACGACCTTTGTTTAAATGAGTCGTACCAAAATTCAGAAAAGTTAAACATTCACATCCGTTTTTTTATTCTTGAACAATGAATAAAAACACGAATTATCTTTAAACTGAGAAAAAAACATTTACTGCCAACAATCTACATATAAACAATGCTGCATAATCAAGCACAAAGTGATCCTTTTCAGTAAAAATGATACATTTACTAAAGAGATAATCTCATTCTACATCCTATTTGTAAAGGAACCTAACCAGTTTTTGTTTTGTAAAAGAGAGACCCTTTTCATATCTTAATGCAAGAAAATCTTTGTTATTTTCAGCTTCATACTTTTTAACAAATTTATTCAGCATTATGATGAAATTACACGTCTTCAAAAATAAGCAGTGCTGTGATATACAAAATTTTCCACATTTGAATATGCCATTATATCTGTAACATCATAGGATAATAAGTATTGTTATGAACGACTAAACAGTATTATCATTTGTATCTCTCTACACAGTTGTTGTGTTATTACTAGTTATGTGTTTTCATAAAACAAGATATTCGTAATACCTAGTGTCTGTTGTATTGGTTTTGCAGTCACTAATGCTACGTTTTGATTCTCTATATCAAGTACTGGATTCATATAGTGCACCGTTTAGCATTCAAGATTATTACCGAAGCCAAAAATTTCTCATCATGAATACGTCTTATTTCCCTAGTATTGTACAATTCTAAAACATTCCTTTGTTCAGAAAGAAATTCAGGAAATACAATGTTTATTTAGTCTCTAGATATATATCAGTGCAAATTATTTTGTAAATAAAAACACCCAAAGGTGATGTTAATTTTTGGATTGAAGATTCTTTGGTTGATATGCAACTCTCGAGCAATCCGTCTATACAGAACTGATTTCATTGAATTCGTACACTTAAACAGGACTAAAAACTCATTAAAGATATCAGGCTTACAATTTAGAAAGACAGACTCGCATTTAGTCGACACAAAACTCATCAGTGGCGCTCGAATCAAAACCGTTGAAATACCAAACAATTAGCATAGGAGCTCAGACTACTGGGCTGGTGATGCCTTCGGGAACGAAATATCACAAGCAGTTACATTGACCTAGTGGTTTTATAACATATCAAAGATACCAGGCTTATGATTTAGTATAAGGTATACGCGCGTTTCGTTTACACAAAACTTATCAGTGTCGCTTAAATCAAAACACTTGGAAAGCCAAACTATATTAAACAGAACTGATTTCATTGAATTCGTACACTTAAACAGGAATAAAAACTCATCAAAGATATCAGACTTACAATTTAGAAAGACAGACTCGCATTTAGTCGACACAAAACTCATCAGTGGCGCTCGAATCAAAACCGTTGAAATACCAAACAATTAAGATGTTTAAGATCATTAAAAAGCTAAATTTTCCAAAAGCTGTATCAAATCTTGCTACGGTAATAAATACATGGGATAGAAAACCTTAAAGTGTCGCATGGTTTTTAAAGTTTTATGTTACAAAATATTTCATGCAAGCATAGGAGCTCAGACTACTGGGCTGGTGATGCCTTCTGGAACGAAATATCACAAGCAGTTACATTGACCTAGTGGTTTTATAACATATCAAAGATACCAGGCTTATGATTTAGTATATGTCAGACGCGCGTTTCGTTTACACAAAACTTACCAGTGGCGCTCAAATCATTACACTTGGAAAGTCAAACAATATGGAAGTTAAAAAGCATTGAAAAATTAAAAAAAAATCAATAAAGTTGTGATAAATCTAGTAAGGCTATCTATGCTTGGAAATAAAACAGTGATCTTATCTTGAAAAAATAATTTGAGAGAAAAGTACAGTTGGTTTTATTTTCTCAACCTATTTTTCTGTGATCGTTACTCTGTTTTTAGAAATCAACTATTGACTGCAATATCTTCAGATTTAGTTTAAACATATTTTATTTACTCAAAGTAAAATGGATTGGACACAAGTAAACCATACTTATGAAGTCCGCTCCGAATAACAATAAATTACAATACAATATTAATGTGAGCATGCAATAATCTTCAGATCCTGCTTATCCTCTACAGATAAAAGAACTTCCTGCAAATGCTGCCTTGAATGAACTGTTATTGACAACAACAAATGCATAGCAACTTTATCTTGGACTGTGATCGTATCTGAAGAGAAATTTTGTAATTATTTTCTACATTAACTGTTTTCTAATAAGTTTGCCTTTCGTCGATGATTTGTTGTTATTGTTTTTCAAATATATTGTGTTTTAATTTGACAGTGTATCGTAAGTCTATTTGGCTGGCTGTAATGTAATATTGTACTAATATGTATTTGTTGTATTGCAGGTTGCACTATAGTAAACATTCTTGTAATCACTAGTATATTTATTTAACAATATTTTCTTTTACCAAATACATTAAAAGGTTTAACGAAAAGTTTAAAAAAAAAATTATCACAAAAATACCGAACTCCAAGGTAAATTCAAAAAGGGGAAGTCCGTAAAACTGACAAAATTCAAACGTTATCGACCAACGGAACCAGTGAAATACAACTGTCATATTCCTGACTTGGTACAGACATTTTCTATACTATTGACACTTAAATAAGAGGCCACCGTAATTGACCGATATTCAAACAGATTTTTTAATATATGTTCTTAAAAGAAACTTGATATTTTATATATAAAAAAAACCCACAATATTACACAGATTTGGTGCCAAAGTCATGTGCGAATTGTTCTAAAAGATCAGGATTAAATGGCCCTTTTCAAAGAGTGTCCAGCTGAATTTGAAAATGTCGAAAAAATTAAGTTACCACATTCAATCATATAAGGCTTATGCTATACTGTACACGAAACTGCCATTAAAGTTGAGATAAATGAAAGCATCGACATTCATTTATTGGCCAACACCTAGAAATCAGCAGAGTATGTATCTCCCATTTGTTACAATATTCAAAGTTACAGGGCTTGGTGTTGACAAGCAAGCCACTGAACTAAGGGTTCTAAATAATAAAATTCAAACCTGTTCGAAAGAAATTTTGATTTGGTTGACCTTTATGGAATATCTGTGTTACAGATGACCGTGGATATTATTCACTTGTTGCTACAATATATAAGGTTGATATTCCTAGAAGATTTTCCCTCAATATTTGAAAAATATGACATAGGTATTTATGGGCATTCTATCGTAGCTTTATTTTCTCGGCATTTGATATTCAGCTTGAAGCATGTTATAAAAAAATAAAGTAACAAAAATACCGAACTATAAGGAAAATTCAAAAGTGAAAGTCCTTCATCAAATGGCAAAAACAAAAGCTCAAACACACCACGAATGGAAAAGGATCCATTCCGAATAGCCAAAGCCATGTTAGGTCAGAAGTTAAGGAGCAAGTTATTTTGATTTTTTTGTTGTTGTTGATGTATTGATCAATATAAAAGTAAAGCGATCTGGCATGAGACAAATATCCACCAAAGACCAATGATGTGAGCAGCTACAGGTTTTCGTAGGCCATCAATGATAAATAAAACCCGAAATGAATAGTAAGCTATAAAGTGCCAGGTAACAGGACAATATTTATAGAACAAACTAAAATCAGTTCTTCAAAATGGTTCTACGCCCAAAAACATTTTAAAGAATGGCAAAATACGCACAAAGTTCTTATCTAATAGTTAAAGCAGTTCTAAAAAGCTAGTTCAAAGCCCAAATTCAAATAGAAAATAAAAATTGGGTTGCTATTTTTCAAAATGTTTATGGAACAAGTTAATTTGTAGTGCCACAGAACACTGAAAAATTAACAACTAAGACATGCTAACACATTATTTTCATATTGTTAGTTTTTATTCAAATTACCATACATAAGTATCATTCTGTTTATTAGTATACATTGATAACATTATTTTAGTTTTTTTTTTTTTTTTCTTATTTTGCATTTAATTTACTATGAATGGACAACGCACATTACGTCATTTTTAAGTGCATGTAAATATTTCAATTATTCGACTAATAATAATGGTTTTGTTATGTTAGATCAATATTTCCTTGTATTCAGTTATTATAGGCATTTTTTTTTTATTTGCAGATAGCAGACGACCTGTGAATATGTTTGTATTTCTATTGATGAATGCAATATAAAATGCAAATAGGCGTGGCTTACTGACTAAAGAAATATACTTTTATTTGTTACGTAAATCTGATGGCATTTATGACACACATCTTGTATGATATTTATGTTTATGAATGATATTTTCCTTTGTGTTTAAATTAGGAATGATAGTATGTGACAACGAATAGACTGAAAATATTAGAGACGTAATCTTATCCATTCTGATAGTTAATTGAATAAAAGTAAAAAATGTATGCTTAAAACCAGAGCAATCTTAATACAAGAATTGTTTTTAAAATCTTTTTTAAATGAACTTGATAGTATTACAATGATGTTTACTCTAAGAAGCACAATAAATATTTTGAAACTTTAGGTAAACTGTACCCTTCTTGTTTATAGAACATGGTTTAATCCACCATTTTCTACATAAGAAAATGCCTGTACCAAGTCATGAATATGACAGTTGTTTTCCATTCGTTTGATGTGTTTGAGCTTTTGATTTTGCCATTTGATAAAGGACTTTCCTCTGTATATTTGTTATTTTACTTTTTTTTAATCAAATGTTCCTTTCTTGTTACAAAAACAAAAACAATATTTATGAAATTTGTCTTATGTTATACCTCATCTAGCTTTGCTTAAAATTACATAACTCACTGTAAACCTATTACCTTTTATCCTGCAATCAGCCAACTATTGTCCAAATAACAGGTCTACAACAATATGTTTGCTTTATTTATAACCACAACTGACTCACTACCTCGGTTGGTGGTCTATTTGTCCACGAGGGTATCACCAGCCCACTAGCGAAGTACTGAAATGAAAGTACGGATAGTGGTTCATTCATTGAAATTTGGATATACTTTAGGTCGTTTGTATTAAGTTTTGGATTTTCAAATATCTTGTCGCTGAGTATCACTGAACTTATTTTAATTGTCGAAATGCGTTTCTGATGCAATAAATTTGGTAACGTTTATGTTATATTTTAGCAAACACATAAGGTCTATAGACTTTGATCAGCTCGTTACTTTTTTAAGAATGTGATGTTGGCGAACGGACTGTGGACAATATCATGAGTGTAATGATATTCATGACCATATTTCATCACCAGTTGGTTTGCTAACTAAATTTTTAGTACTCTGTGTAGATTTAAATGAACAGTTTGTGCGTTCCGATTTTTTTGTCATGGTGGTGTCTGTCTTTTTTTTTTTTCACTTATGGTTTTTGATCGACCTTTGATATTTCCTCCGTTTAAGAACAAGTTAAATTTTGAAAGGATCTAGACAATTTCGTTTGGAATGTATCTTTGGAATCAAAGCTTTCTTATAGCTATCAACTTTTATCTTAAAAAATATACTAACCAATGTGTATTGCGGAAATGTATTTTGGGTATTTAAGGACTAATAATACAAAAATTGGTCATTTTTCATGTAAAGTTGTAGCATTGAATCTTGTTTGAATTCCAGCAAATAAAATTTCTATGAACTTTAATCACATGAACTGTTGATATAATTATGTTTGTTCATGCATGCTCTATTTATTGATTCAACCTAAGTAGTTTGTAAACTAATTTGCATATTGCATTGATATATTTGCTTGTTTGACATTTGATTATTTTTTTTCATTTTCTTATTTTGGTACTTTATGAAATTAACACTAGACAACTTTGTATATGTAAGAGAATGATAATCCCTGTCTTCATGAATAAGTACGAGCGATAGCGAGTACTTATCATGAAGATAGGGATTATCATTCTCTTACAAACTTAGAACATATAGACTCTATTATTGTTTAATTAAATGTCCTTTAAATGGTATGAATGAATATAGTTCTCAAATATAAGTTACAACAAATGACCCCTCTAGCTATATATATATATATTGTAACAGTCTTGCACGACTGATTGGTGAGTCCTTTTTTCCACTATAAAAAGTTTGTATTTTATTCTGTATTTCATCTCTGAAACCGTACAATGAATAAACATGATGGAATTGGTAGTTTTGAATTGCTTGAAGAAGTGTCCGAATTTGATCTCATGCTTTTACCTACCCAGGATTTAGTGAAAATTGAAACCGAGCCTGTCATGTGTGATGCTGCTGCCACCCGTCGATTTTCGGCTCCAATGTCCGATTCGGATTTACAAGAAAAAATTCTTAAGGCTATCCCTAAGAAGACTAAAAACAACAACAAGTGGGCTTTAGGAGTCTGGGTTGCTTGGACTTTAGAAAGAAATTTGTGTAGAGAGACATTTGCTGACGGTGTTGCTTCAATACCCAGTGATCCGAATTGCCTTTCAAATGAACTTTTAAACTATTGGATGGCACACTTTATTCAAGAATGTAGACGCATGGATAGCAGCCCTTATCCACCCAACTCATTGGTCCAGATTGCATCAGGCATTCAAAGGTATGCTTAAATTTTTAAATTTCAATGGTGGGTGGAAATGGGGGGGGGGGGGGGCAACTGTTGAGATGCACCAACTTCCTACTTTTTTATATAGATACCACCCTGTTTGTTATGTTTTAGCCGTAGACTCCTGATGTTTATATTTAATTAAGTGCATAATTAGGATGTTTTAAAAACAAATTCTAAACTTGTTTAACTCAAATTGGTACTTTTCTTTATTAATTTTTCTAATTTTTTTGTCTTTTATATTAATTTTACTATTTGTCAATAAATGAATGAGATATAGCGTATTTCTAAGTGTGACTGTAACCACACAACACAAGAAACACAAGACAGAAAATTTTCCAGCATAAAGTACTTTCAATGATTCAAACATGTTTTCGTCCGGAATATGCATATATATTGATTTTACTGTTTTTCAATAAATAAATGAGATATGATGAAATTTTAATTATGAAAGTAACCACACATTACAAGAAAAAAAGACAAATAATGCTTACGATGTATTATATAGCTACAAGAATTATAAATCCGCATATTTTTGTAGGTATCTGAGAACAGACTGCAACAGAAATGATATAAACCTATTTCAAAAAGATTCCGTTCCATTTTCGTTTTTCCGAAAATGCCTAGATAGTAGGATGAAAGAACTAATAAATAGTGGTATTGGCACTGATGTAAAAAGAGCAGACCCTATATTGATATCGGACGAGGAAACCATGTGGGATAGTGGGGTATTCAATTGTGACACGGCAACTGGCCTAACAAACATTGTGTTTTTCTATAATTGCAAACTCTTTGGGTTTCGTGCTCTTGACGAACATAAAGAACTTGACGCTAGTCAATATCGCATTTCCGTTGATACGAATGGTAGAAAGTTACTGCATTATACCGGGAGGCTATGCAAAAATGTACAAGGTAGGCTTAACAATAGAAATATTGATGTTAAACGTATAACGCAGAAAAGTGATCCAACGAATCCTAGATGCCTAGTAAAGATTTTTGAAAATACTTATCGTTAATTCCACGTGAGGGTAGGTTTTACCGTAAGCCTCTACCCCATAAAGCTTCAAATGGATCAATCCGATTCAGTGTGCAGCCTATAGGAATAAACACTTTATCTTGTAAAATGAAGGAATTATTCAAGGCTGCTGGAATTTCTATGACAGATCGAAATATTTCTAATCATTCTGGAAAAGTCACATGCTGTACTGCGCTCTTTAATGCAGGATTTACTGATTCAACTGTTAAGTCCAGGAGTGGTCACCGATGATACATATAAGCGTCCATTGGAAGCATTACAGGAGAATGTAAGCAAGGCATTACAGCCGCCGTCCGTAAATAAGTACATAAAGAAGGAAATTGAGTTGTCTGTTCACAAGAATGATCAAAATGAAGGTGTAAACAAAGAAAATAATGACAATACAATGACAATAAATGTGCCAAATTCAATCAACAAAGTTGTAATTATCAAAAATGGAAAAAGATATTGTTTGGAAATTTGAACTTATTGTGTACTAAAAATTTATTCATCGTTGTTTATATTTATACAAATAATTAATGTCTATTCAAAGAGCCAAAGGTGATAAAATCTTCTTTCAACACTTTTTCCTGACCTAATGTCCCAAGGCAATTTTTGCTACAGTCAATGGTCATTTGTATATTTTACAGAACAATAAGGTAATTAGCTACTAAGAACATGTTTCGTGTCATTCTTCACCATTAAGAGGATGAAAAGTCTTGCATTTCATTGGTTGAAAGCACTTTACTATGTTCTAACGTGCGTTAGAAGCACTTTTAATGACTTACCTTCATAATTAACGCTTGAACCTAAATATTTAAAAGCCAGTGATTCGTGAATACTAGTAGGCTGCAACGTTTATGGCAAAAACGTTCCTATACAAAAGGAGCCAAATTCACCCAAGGTCAACTGCCTGAGGGAGTATGAACATTAGTTTCTTAATAATTTCTTAATTTATGAACCGGAAAGTTTGAGTAAGTATATATTTAAATTATGTCGGTACCGAAGCACTGACTATTGAGCAGATGATACCCTCGGGAACTTAGTCCACCTGGAGCTAGAAAATCAAATAAACACTTTATAAATTCCATTAATCCGAAGCGCTTTCCTGGATTAACATTCAGCACGTACGCTCAAACCTAAACATTTGAAAGCGAGCGGTGCGTACATATGTTGCAACGTTAAGAGCAAGATCACCAAAAAGATCATAACATCTAAGGCCAGATTTGCGTGAGGTTGTTTAATAAAGGCAACAGTAGTATACCGATGTTCGAAACTCATAAATCGATAGAGATAAAAACACATCCGGGTTACAAACTAAAACTGAGGGAAACGCATCAAATATAAGAGGACGTTAGATTCTTATTATTTTTTGAACTGGAAATTTTGAAAACTAGTAGTATATGTTAAAGATGAATTTTTGTTTATTTGATAACAGCTTTTTAAACAGTTTCTGACAATCGATACAATGCTGACAAATGTTGCATGATGAAACATATGTCTCTAGACAAAATGTTTGTTTCAGATAATATTTATTCACTATAGTTAGATGTCAAATTGATAATTGAAAATAAGAAAGAAAACCGCAGTATATTACTATTATTGGGTTCATTCCTTGGGACAAGTTGGGGGAGGGGCAGCTAGATATGAAAACAGGATATACGCATCATTTTCTTCGAGAAATGCCTGTACCAAGTCAGGATTATGACTCGTCCGTTGGTTGTTAAAATCTCATGTTTGATTTTGTCAGTATTTATGGACTTACCCTTTTTGAATTTACCTTGAAGTTCGGTATTTTTGTTAATACTTGGTTGGTTTTCCTACTTTCAAAAGGGTATAATCCTGTACTGCTTCTTTGATATCTTTGCTGGTTAGCTGGTGTCTGAGTAAATTTCCCTGCAGTGGTCAGTTCTTCAGTCCCAGAAGATATATTTACATATCATTCCAATAATCAATTATTTTGTCATTTTGATATGACGGGGGAAAAGAATGTTTGGGAAAAGTGGTAAGATAAAGTGTCTCGATTTTATTGATTTTCTATTTTTAAGGGGAAAAGGGTACATCTTTCAAAAAGAAAACTACGATCTGAAAAAGCATGCATTACCTTTAAGCTGCAATATAGGTCTCTCGGTTTTTTTCAGTTGATGTGGAAATTAAAAAGGACAAAATATACCAAAGGGACATTCAAATTCATATCGAAAACAAAAATGAAAAAATATTGACCGAAAAGAAATAAGACGAAAGACAGCAACAATCTTCAAAACAAAATACATAGAAATTTCAGACTGGGCACCATGAACCTTACCAAACTAAAAGAATCGAGAAAAACATTTCGGAATTGTGTTTACGAGAACTATGTGAGTCATATCATTGACTACGCATCAAACAATAGCAGGATGGTAAATGTGTCTTGTCCTATCCCTAAACATCATCAAATTCATAAATCTTTGAGCATTTATGATTGACCGCATGAGAAAGTGTGAAATGAAAACGTTGTTTTCAGGACAGTGAATGGACAAGACTGTGGCCGTAGAACAACATATACATTAATAAACAGTGATTTCAATCATACATTTTTACTGTTAATTTCAGGTTTATAAAGTGTGTAACTGTTTATAAAAGATGACAGCTCCATTAGGAAAAGATTACTATAGACAATATTTTATGAAGGTTATTTCAGAAGCTGTACTGTGCGCACGGAAATCAGATAACACGATTCTTATCGAAGAATCTGTTATCCAAAAGAGAGGCGGAAGATACCAAAAGAACATTCAAACTTAATAGTTGAAAACAAACTGACAATGCCATGTCAAAAAACAAAAAACGCATAAAAGACAAACAACAGTAAACAAAACACAACATATCAAACCAAACTAACAAACAGTTGATACTATCTTGCTTTAATCTTTCACGATATGCTTAAAAATGAGTGAAGGTTTGATAGACTTATTCAAATTATATTCAAGAAATTTGCTATTCATAATTAGTCTGTAGCAGCTTTAAAGGAAGGAGAAATATATATGAACAAATCTAAAATCGACGACAAGCAGCTGTGAGAAGAGTTCCGAAGCGAATTGGTCAGAAGGAAAAATCCATACATTGAAAACTCATAAAATAATACAAGAATGAGCATGAAATCGATGAAATAAGGCTGTTGGAAGTATAAGCATATCCTGTTCCACATGTGACAGTTATTATATTGTATCCAAAGACAGAAACCATTTAAAATTCAGTAAAACAACGGGAATTCAATTTGATTTTCCCATGATTATTTACGAGACTGTTACATGGATCGACTATCTAGTAGACGACTTAATACGTTCATTAAAAGATCAAAAAGACAATAACAGCGCGTTTCGTCTACAAAAGACTCATCAGTGACACTCGAAACAAAAATAATAAAAAAAACAAATAATAAAGTTGAAGAGCATTGAGGACCCTAATTCCCAAAGGTTCCTTGGATAGAAAACCCTAAGGATTTCTAAAATGCAAAGTTAATTTATAATTATAACCATATCTATGATAATTCATGTCAACTTGGATATGCTAACTACTTGGCTGGTGATACCACCGGGAGGAAACATCCACCAGAAGAGGCATCAACCAAGAAGTTGTAAATAAACTCATCATTTATACAGCAAATAAAATTTTGAACGCGAGACGTACATTTCTTCTACAAATTAAAGATTTATCAGTCACGTTCATAAAAGTTAAAAAGGCCAAATAAAGTACGAAGTTGAAGAGCATTGAAGACCCATAGTAAAGATTAGAAAAGAGTATTTTATACTGTCTTTTTATAAAAAAAAATATAAAAAAAATTCAATTTATATATCTTTTAAAGGCTTCAATGGAAAATTGTTTTATTTATTAATAACACGTTTTAAAAAAACGACTAGTGTACTTAATCATGTTATACTTTCGTACAAATCTTTGAAAAAATGGGTTAAAACTTCCTATTTCAAACTATACCTAACCTGGACACGGTGCAGGCGATGTTGCTGATGTCACAGAAGAATCCCGCTGAGGGAAGAACAAAAATTTGCTAACGCAAATTTGAAAATCTAACATTGTAGGGCTAAATTTGAGACGAATTATATATATATCATGTGTTCTATTTTCAGAAATTTACCAGTGATAATATAAACGTCACAAAAAATATTTCACTTTTTGTGGCGTTGATATATTCGTGTGACGTACAGTTTATAATTCGTTTGTGCTGCCCTGGTGTGCAGTCGCGGTTTCATGGGAGGTGTCAGTTGTTATTCTTTGGTTTACATGTTGTAATTTACTATTATATAATTTATTTATGTGTTTCTCTGTCCTGAGTGTTCTTGCGTTTATTTGTACTGTATTCCTGTCACGTAATGTTCTCATTTTAGCGGTATTTTTAACGGTGCCATATAAGCGGGAGGTTTGGCTAGCCATAAAACCAGGTTCAACCAACCATTTTTTCTTAAAATGTCCTGTACCAAGTCAGGAATATGGAAGTTATTATCAAATAGTCCGTTTCTATGTATGTTGGCGTGTTTTGTTGCAGTTCAGTGTTTCTGTGGTTCCGTTGTTTTCCTCTTATAGTTGATGTGTTTCCCTCGGTTTTGGTTTGTGACCCGGATTTGTTTTCGCTTAATTGATTTATGACTGTTGAACAGCGGTATACTACGGTTGGCTTTATTTAGCCCTGTATAACCACGTGTTATCTGGTGGAGAATGTCTGTCATAAAGTTGTCACATGTTTAGACGTGTATGATAAAATTAAAATTTGATGTGGCGGCATGATAATTAACATTATCATCCTTGACAGACTAAATAGCTGGTCTGCCAGGTATACCATCTACTTGCCACTATACATCATGTACTGCGTTACAACCCTAGATAAAGCCGACGAGGAAAGGCTTTATATCGACCACCGAGAGCTATATTTATATGTAACCTAGGTGGTCGAGTGGTCTAGGGCGCTGGACACGGTGTAGGTGGTGTTGCCACGGTGTCACAGAAGCAAAATATCAGCACAACAATGTTAAATTTGTAAATTTGCGGAAGCACGGCCTATTTTTTAAATATTCGTCTTTGATCGTTCCTGATGAAATTAAATCTAGAAAAGCGCCTCGGGCGCATGGAATTTAAATAGTGTTGTTTTCATTATTTGTCTGTATCACTTAGTCTGAAACTACAAATGTTCATTTAAAAGTAGCCGTGTTTTCAGCCGCAAATTTGCAGATTTAACATTGTTGTGCTGATATTTAGAGT